CCGCGCAGTAAGAAAAACATTTGTCCTCAAAAAACACTTTGTTGTAGTGTAGACTAAAAGACTGTGTATGAGCCTTGACGAATTCGAGCAGCTTCCTTCTAGCAAGACGAGTGGCAGGGGAAAAATCCTCTGCGACGGAAGTGGCACTACCGCGCAGTTTGCCACTCGAGAAAAAAAACATGGTCTTTCGTTTTGAATAATGAAAATTTCACTAAAACTGGCCGACATTTACTGGGGTAAAAAACACGACCGAGTCTATGTGCACGAATGATACCCTCAGGGGGAACGATGATTTTCATTTCGTTTGCAATGACGTCACGCACTTTGCTTTCAGATACAGCCCAGGTCTCAGAGTTTGAGTCGGGAACACCGTAAAATATTAGATTACCTCTTCGAGGCCTGTCCTTAAATTCATCAAGACGTGACCGCAGACGCGTTCTCGCGTGACAGGAAGGTTACAGTTTCTTTCACATCTGTCAACTCAAGCTCCAAAATGTCCAAACTGGCTATCTTTTCTTCCACGGTACTTAATTTCAATCCCATTTGTTATGGGTCCAAAACTCGGGGGTGAATCCAGGGGGGGGGGGGGGGGGGGGGGGGGGCGGCCGCCCCACCCCCCTCCTCCTTCTCGGAGGGCAATTGGGTGGACCCCCCCCCCCCCCCCCCCCGGTGCACAAGAAAGAATGGGAGAAAAGTATCGTTACAAATCCCCCCCTTCCCCCCCAAATGGAGTTCTGGATCCGCCCCTGCCGAAACTACAACCTCTTGATCAGCCTCTGAAAAGAAGTCGCACCGAAGTCCTTGACATTGCCACTAAGTCCCCTGATCTTTTCAAATTCCCAAGGTTTCTTGTTTTGCACTCTGAGGGCGAAAAGCCACTTCACAACTTTCTCTCTTTTTAGTGTCTGAAGTGCTTGAAGGTGTTGTCGGTGCAAACTTTAGCGCCTAAAAAATGCATCAAGCGACCTCCTTGTTGAGATAAATACAAAGAAACAAAGCGAATCACTTCTAGCCCTGAACAGTCTCAAACTACAAGGTTAGTGTGACCCCTTACCAAATGTTAAACACTGTCCAAGGAGTCATCTCTGAAGATGACTTGCTCGACTCAACAGATGCAGAGCTAGTTGAGGGTTTTCTGGACAGGGAGTTGTTGCACCTAGACGCATCACCATCCGTCGCGATGGCGTACAACACAAAACAAGGTGTGTTATTTTGACTTTCGACTCCACGACTCTTACAACTAATCTAAAGGCAGGCTACTTTCAATGTCGTCTCCGGCCTTATGTACGGAACCTTCAGCGCTGCTTTAAGTGCCAAAGGTTCGGCAACGGGTCGCGGAACTGTAAGAATAACGAGACCTGTGTCAAGTGCTCTAGTAAGGAGCATGTCGCTGATGTGTGTGAGAACGAAGCTCAGTCCGGCTAGCTGTAACGGTAAGCATTCAGCATACTCCCGATCTTGTCCGTTTTGGAAACAAGAAAAATAAATCCTCACCTCGAAGGTTACTGAAAATATATCTTACATTGATGCAAAGAAGCGCTTTGTATTTCTTTCCAAAGGCTCTTACGCCCAGAACGTACGCAAGGGACCGGTATAACCAATGGTTTCGACCGGAACAGAGATGTCTGCGGACGATCTGCGTCTCCCGTCGAGGTCTCCTGCGTCCTCGGGAGCGGGCACCGCTTTTGAATCGCAAGGTGGATGCTGCCTCCTCAGTATCCACCACGGAGCAGGGGCTGAAATCACTTGCTCCACCTGGCACTTCGACCCCTAGGGGCTGTGGTCACCCTTCTCGCACCTCTGCTCCCCAAAGGAAGCCCGGGAAGCCGCCGAAGCAGTCGATCTCCAATGGTCAGCTGCTGGCGGCAACAGGCGAGCACATGGACGAAAGGGGGCTCAGGTCCGATGAGGATGCTCCTCTCTCAAGATCGGAGTCCTCTCTTTCTGTCGCCAGTGACCCCACTCGGAGGCAGAGAGATCCTTCTAAAAAAAAGAGCACCCCGCCTGTGAAAATAGATTTTAAACCTTAACGAACCTACCTTTTAGGTCACTTTTCGTGCATATATTTTTTTCTTCTCTAAATGGTAAAGAACTATAGTATCCTGCAGTTGAATTGTAGCTGCCTTTTTTCTAATATTGATGACATAAAATTTTCTCGATGAGCTTGGACCTGTGGCCATAGGCCTAAACCGCCATGAAATCTTTAGAAAGGACCGTGCATCATCTAGCAACTAGTCTGGTGAGTAGCTGTGGTTGTGCAGAGCGGCATAGCCTGTGTTTCTCTCACGACCTCACTGGAGGTAGTGGCAGTTCGTATTCTTCTTGACCGCCTTATTACACTGAATTCAATCCACATGCGACCAAATATTCACTGCGTTTACATAACCTTCAAGGGCTCGTTGGCCAGCTTCCACAACCTTTTTAATTTTAGGATACTTTAATGCGCACCACCCTATGTGGGGTATTGCCCGCCAAGACTCCCGTGGTGGGGTCATTAAACGATTTTTGTTAACATCTTGCCTTTGCTTTTTAAATCAGAGGGATCCGTGTTTTTTTAGTGCATCTCAAAATACTTTCACCTCCATTGATTTGTCTTATTTATCGCCATCTTTACTTTAATGCTTTTCATAGAAGGTTTCAGACAATCCTTATGGAAGGGATCATTCTCCTGTGATTTGAGGAAGTATGGTAGCACTCCCTTCACTTCTAATTAGCAACCCCAGGTGGGAATTGGATAACGCAGACTGGGTTCTTTTTGCGTTGGAAGCGGTACTTGACTCTACCGAACTTTTAGCTGTGTCCCCTGAGAGTGCCGCCTTGTATATTAGTGAGCGAATAATAAATGCAGCATCTACGAGGCAGAGTCAAAACGTAACCGCAATTTAGCCGTGAGAAAATCGAACCTAGTGATAGACTATTGCGCAGCTGCAAATATGTTGTGACCTACCCCAAGAGGGAGCTCTGCACGCCGGCCTGGCGACTTGATGGCAAATGTCACGTGGCCCCAGCACTTTCACAATGGCCGCCCCCTAGTTAGCATGCACCAGGGAGGAGCAGCGTTCGGTTATCCTATATTTGGACGCAGAGGGTGAAAAACCTGCGGATAATTATTGCAGGATGCTGAAGCAGTAGGGGCACGCTTGTGTATCACTTCGGCTGGTGCACTAGTGGCACAAAACATTTCAGAGTGGAGCGTCCAGTTTGAGAGATGCACCTCGCTCCGGCCGGGCTCACACTTCAACGACGCCGGACGCAACCTCTGCTGTGTAACGGCTTTACACGGGATCCGACGTGTCACCATCGATGAAGAGGCTGAAGAATTGAATATTAGTCACGGCTCGACGCACCATATCATTCATGATATTCTGCAGTAGCATAAAGTATCCACCAGGTGGGCACCTAAACAACTGTGAGACGCTACAGCGACGCCACGAAGCCGAGGGAGATGATTTTTGTTCGACACATTGTCACCGGTGATGAATGCTGGGTACACCACACCCAGCCAGAGACAAAGCGAGCAAGCAGGGAGGGGCGATACACAACGTCACCAAGGCCGAAGAAGTTCGAGACAGCGCCAATGGTGGGCAAGCTAATGCTCATGGTCTTTTGGGATCATAAAGGCCTAATAGTTGAACATTACATGCCCAAGAGACTCACTTTAACAGCTGTGCATCATGCTGCAACCTGCTTGAGAACCACTTGAAGCCTGCAATCAGGTCAAAGAGTCGCGGATTGCTCAGCTCAGGGGTGTTGCTGCAGCACGACAATGCGCGCCCTCACAGGGCGTATACAGCAATGGAAAACATCAAAGGACCGCGGTTCGAGTGTATCCCGCACCCACCATACTCGCCAGACCTCGCAACGAGTAATTTTTACCTATTGGGATTCCTCAGAGGGGATCTCGGGGGAAAGAAAGTTTGATACACACGATGACCTGAAAGCGGCGGTGCATTCCTCGCTCCGGAGTCAGGCACAAGATATGTTTTCCCGCGGCATCTATGCGTTGGGGAAGTGTTGGCGCACATCTGTCGAGCGAGGTGGTGGGAAAAATAGTAAAGGGCTTTTCGTGTTATTGATAGTACCACGCAAATAAATAATAAATTGCAAATACTTTTTGACTCTGCCTCGTATTTCCGTTCCACAAACATCTGGAAATCTCCCAAAGCGATGCAAGCCTTAGTGAACCAAGGAGTGTACTGCCATACTTAAAAGCCTCAGACAAGGCTTGGGGCACTTTTTGCCGCTACCCAAGTGCCAGGAACAAGGTAGAGTTAAAAAAAAAAAAAAAGAAGGCTCGTTCGACAAGGAAGCAAGCCAAGAGGAACTCGTGGATGAAGTATGTTTCCAAGGTGAAAAGTGTTGTCACTTTAAAAAGAGGTGTGAGACCAAGTGGGAAAGATTCGGGGCAACAAACTTTCTTTTAGAACACCTCGTTTACCCTCACTTGTTCTAATGTTAAAGGACCAAGCAAATAATCTTGCAGAATATTTTCAATAAGTTTTTAATTCCTCTAAATTCAATTCCAAATTAAAAAGAAAATCAGGGCTACAGCAGAAAAGCAGCCAATTGCTATGTCTGGATCGGATGCTCTAACATTTAACCAGTCTTTCACATTGTGTAAACTTGAGGTGGCCCTTGCAACAAAGGAGGAATCCGCGCCTGGACTTGACAGAATAAACTATGAAATTATGCGGCTTTTGTCCCGTGAATTCCTAAGTCATCTGTTTACTTTTTTAAACCATTTGTGGGGAGCTTCTGTTTTTACTCAGTGCTGGAAACTTGCACATATAATTCCCTTGCTGAAACCCGGTAAAGACTCTTCACTGCCTACATGTTTTCGTCCAGTTGCGCTGACCCGTTGTCTCGGGAAAATTTACGAGAGACTGATAAATAGGCTACAAGTGCACTTCTGCACTAGTAGCCTATTTATCAGTCTTTAGTAAGCCTATTTATCAGTCTCTCGTAAGCTGAAAGAGTTTTAGATACCAATCAGGTGTAGATTTAGATTAGGTCACTCAACTTTGGATCATCTTGTTCGTCTAGAAACATCCATAGGTGAAGCTTTTGTACATCGACAGAACGGTGTGTCGGTATTCTTTGATCTTGAGAAGGCTTACGACACTACTTGGTGGTATGGGATTCTTAAAGGGACACTGAACCCCCCCCCCCCCCCCCCCCCATTTTTTTCATTTTTGCCAGGCGATTTAATATGGTGTCAGAAGGCTACCCAATTAATATTTTGCTACTGTCACGTATATTTTTAATGAAGTCAAGAAACGCTATTGCTGGAACCCGAAACCGAAACCTGCAGAGTGCCGGAAGTCACGTAACTACACCTGACCGTGATTTTTTTTTTTTTTTTTTTTTTTTGGCCGCGCGTTGCAGACGACATTGTCGACAACGTTGCGAGTACCGTTTGTCGCGCGATTGCTTTGCAGTTATTTGTTCCACTCGCTGTTTTGCACTTCAAGATGAGTTGCTTTGTACATTGAAGAGTAGGAGATGAGTAGTGAATGCTTGTGTGAGTGCTTGTGGTGAATTTCCGTGATCGGCTCCGAAAAGAATGCCTCCAAGATGTTGCGTGAAAAGCTGCCTCACAGATTCTGCATCCGAAAGCGTCATTGTGCGGCAGAGTCTGCACAAGTTTAAGAAAGATTAATGGGATCGGGACCAATGGCTGGCTGCAATTCCGGCAGAACAGTATCGGGCACCTCGAAAAGCGGACGCTACCCGATGTATACATATATGGTGACCATATTACTCAAGGTAGAAAACGGGACATCCCAGCGGAAATAGGGGGGGGGGGGGGGGGGGGGGGTTGTTCTGAAGTTTGAGATTGGGAGAAAACATTTTATAAAATTTTACATGCGTGCTATATCTACATGATCCTACATCCGTGCTATTACAGTAAGTAAAAGTATATTTCTGCACAGGCGTTTTCGCGAGAGAAAAGGTGTCTGCGGGCAAGAACAGTTCTAAATTTTACTCTCTGTGTAAATATTAGGGCTGGGCGTCGATTAAAAATTTTAACCCGATTAATCGCCACCCTTTAATCGATTAATTAATCGATTACTCGGTTGCGTTAATTTTTATAAATAATATATTCAAAAAGACTGCAACTCGTGTTGCCTTTGAAGACTTATTTTACTTTTTGTTACACGGCGCAAAGGACATTTATAATTGGGAATACATATAGTTCAACAACTCAAAGACACATATTTTTGCTCCAGCTCCGTAGACAAAGAAGTCTGTCCACATTCTCCGACAGGAAGACAAAAAGCAGGGCTTGGGCGATCCTTTCTTTTTTCGGGGAAAAGAATCTCTATGGAGAAGGCATTGATTGCTGTCACCGTTCTGGCGGATGTCCTTGCTGCAGCTACATGAGTGCTTCGCTTGTAGGCGATACTGAAGCGAACTTACGCTTTTACTGTACGAAAAATGCTTTTTTCAGATGATGCAGTGCACTTCCTTCGAGTTAAAAACTTCTGAAGTTTACTTTAAACCGCTGGAGTTTACTTTAAACCCAAACTTTCCAGCGAAACTTCCTTTTATACTCGTGAACTCGTCCATTTTACGTGCCGAATACTGGAACAAGTAACCATGGCGTTGTTAGCTTCCCAGCTTGTTTTTCTGCTTGTTTGTCTTGCCTGGGCAGGATGTGTAATAGATCCTCAACACGTGAAGTTTCGCGGTCACGCGGGGATCAATTGCGGGCCCGGCTTGTTCGTCTGGCGGTCTGACCTCGGCAGAACTGTAATGTATATCCTTGAACACGTGACGCTTCGCCAGCGCGAGAATTGAACCTTGCTCATAGCACCTGGCTGGGAGCGGTTTTTTAGGGGCGAAGCTTCTTAGGGTCTAGCCTTGTCCGTCTGGCGTCCGTGCTCCCATCGATTGCCATCCCTACTGTCTTCTTAAAAAAAGAAAAAAAAAAGTTTGCGCAGTCGACAGGATTCGAGCCTGTGCGGGGAGACCCCAGTGGATTTCTAGTCCATCGCCTTAACCACTCGGCCACTACTGCGGAACCAGTAGGGGGCTCTGAGATGTGGTAGTAACTCAAGAGCTGGGGACGTCATGGATGAAACGTGGCATGTTGCCGCTCAACGTCTATACAGGAGAGGGCGCTGCGGTCGAATGCGTATATAATCGCGTTATACTTTGCATGCATTGGCTCAACGTTTATAGACGAGAGGGCGCTGCGGTCAAATGCTCAAATGCTTATTAAGCCACGTTCCATACCACACATTCTCTTTCTGACATGGATGAAAACGAACGAAAAGCTCGGCATGGTGCGGCTCAGCGTATCAGGAGCACCAGAGCTTCGTCCCAATCAACATCATTCACTACGTGGAGATGCGGTCATTTTTTGAGTACCGATTAAAAAAAACGATTAACCGGTTAAAAAAATTTGATCGCGATTAAAGCGTTAATCGATTTAAAAAAAGAAATCCCGTTCTCGATTTTTTTCAAACTCTGACCAGTCATTCCACTCTATTTGGGGGTTACTATAGATTAAAAACATGTTGCATTATATTGATGGTGTAATAGATACAGCACCTCTACCGAGCCCCTCCTGCGAAGCTCGGCACGGTGTGCCCCTGTGGTGCGACGCAGTTATTGCGACTTCTTACTTTGAGAGAAAAGTTTTTTTTTTTTTTTTTGCTATTCGAGTATAGCAAGTAATAGTTTTTCACATCCTTTGCACGTTATAATAAATTTCGCATTATATAGAATAAATTACATAACAGATACAGGGTGATTTCAGATACGATCGAAAAGAGGGTGGCTGGTCGACCTTTAAATTTGCTTCATAATTGTATATGTTATTGAACGATGTCCGAAAAAAAAAATCAAGATTATTTTCACCCAGAAAAAAAAAAAAAATCGTCGGACGCAAAATGTCGCACATTACGTAGAAGTGGAAAGTCGCGTTTGCTTGCGTAGCCGGAGGGAATTTGGTTATTAATAACGGAAATTATACTTCTTAGGCGAGTTTCATAATTTTTAGGCACAATCTATGTGTACTTAGCAGTACGAAAGAAATGTTGTTATTGTTTATTATGTTTAAAAAAATTATAAAAAAAACATCAATTTCGGCTGTTTGACTGTTTTCCCCCAACTTTGCAGGCCTGTATCTTAGAAAATACTTTAGTCAGAAGAGTCATATTTTAATTCAATACACTACTTATAAATGGAAGTAAATTAACTGAAATTCAAATCTGTATATGAGTGGGTTGGGGAGATTTCGGCAAGCAAACACGAGACAAGCACCAAAATAAAAATATTTTAAGTGTGACTTAAAAAAAAAAAAAACGTTCTTTATTTTTTTTAACTCTACCCAGTCATTCAACTCTATCTAGCGGTTAATATCCATTAAAACATGTTGCATTATACTGATGGTGCAAAAGATACAGCTCCTCTACCGAGCCCCTTATCCGAAGCTCGGCACGGGGTGTCCCTGTGTTGCGACGCAATGATTGCAACGTGTTATTTTGTAAAAAGAGAGAGAAAAAAATATATATATACATATATAGAAACGTGGCATCGGGGTCGTCGGAGCAAAAGTGCTCCACATGCACCGAGTGGGCGGACAACATTCGCCGCGCCTTTGCGACCACAGCCTCTCCCCGGGAACGCTGTCAATTGCTCACCTTCCTGCCATCAACCTTGACAAGTAATGGAGTCCAGAAAATCATCCCAGAGGCATCGATCTACATCATTAATAGGTCCCGGAAGCTGAGGGAGGACCACGGCGTGTGGTATGTGCCCGATCCCTATACAAGGTGTAAGGTGAGCCGTGAAAACATATCTGCAGCGGTTGAGTTCTACATGAAAGACGAGTTAGAGTGTTCTAGGCAGAGTCCCAATCAGAAGGACGTCATTTCCGTTGTGCTCGATGGCCAGAAAACGCTCAAGCCGAAACGTTTTATGACACGGTCAATCAGAGAAGCGTTTCGTGTATATAAAAGTGACCATCCCGACTCCGGCATCGGATTGACGAAGTTTTACTCGCTGCGACCCCGATGGGTTAAATGCAATCCCCAGCAAGAAGCGTGAGTTTGTGTGTACTGTGCAAACTATAACCTCTGCGTCGCCTCTCTACAAAAAGCTGCTGGCTCACAACTTGGCGCAGCGGAATTGAACTCGGCATTCATTTGCAACCCGCCATCGCGCCAGTGCCTTTTAGGCGAATGTGACCATTGTCCCAAAGGCCAGTCTCTTACACTCGAAAAACTCAACATTTCCGAGGATGAAGAGATAGTTTTGGCAGCATGGGAGTCAGGCGAGCTCGTGAAAAAGACTTTAGATCCGGTCACTTTTCTGGAAGAGCTTCGTGTGTCGGTCTCAAGGTGGATCATTCACAACCATATCAGACAGACGCAAAACAAAGCCTCCTATGAAGAAAAGCAGTGCGCGCAGCGTGGTAGCATTGTCTTCCACTTCGACTTTGCTGAAAACTGGACAGTTATCCTTCCTGACGAGATTCAAGCGTACCACTGGAAAAAAATCAGGTCTCAATATTTACGTGCATGGTGACGACTAGAAAGTCGACATACACTTTTGCCGTTATCAGTGACGACTTGCATCATGACTCCGCTCATGCCTGTCTGGCTGTACAAAAAGTGAGAGAGTGGGTCGATGACAACCTTGCTGTGTACTCTCATTTGACTTATGTATGTGACGGTGCCGCCAGTCACTTCAAGAATCGCTTCCAACTTCATGAATTACAAAAAAAATGTTTTTTCCAAGGCCCAATGGCCACTGGGCACGGAAGAAACGCGTGTGACGGAGTTGGAGGACTCGTCAAACACCAAGCAACGCTTCACAACTTGAGACAGCTCCCAGGAAAGGCCATACAGTCTGCAAAATGTATGGTGAACAGTCTTTCCCCAAAACTAAAAGGAGTGAATTTCACAATTTTGGACGAAGACGAGGTTGTTGAATTCCGTGAACGCACAATGAAGAGTGGGTGGGAGTGCGCGCCTTTCCTGGTATTCAGTCGTGGCATGTGTGGCTATGCGAAAAATCAGAAGCTTCGACCAGTGACTTGAAATTGGCACGGACTTTCGGGTCCCCTTGGA